TTCAAGAATTAAGTCTCTACCTCAAAGGTCAAGGTCACACTATCACTTTGAAGTTTCACATTATCTCAATTTTAGAGAAATTAGGTACACATTCGTGTCCGGACTGTAACTTTGTCATGCATCGAATGATTTTAAGATAACTAGGCATAAATGTATACCACATCAAGAAAATGTGTCGCGTCAAAGAATTACGTCTCTACCTCAAAGGTCAAGGTCACACTAACATTTTGAAGTTTCACATTATCACAATTAGAATTAATAGGTACATACAATCGTGTCTGGGCTGTAACTTTGTCATGCATCGAATGATTTTAAAATAACTTGGCATAAATGTCTACAACATCAAGACGATGTGTCGCGCCCCTACCTCAAAGGTCAACTTCACACTACCATTTTGAAGTTCACTTTATCACAATTAGAGTTTATAGGTACACACGTGTGTGTCCGGGCTGCAACTTTGTCATGCATCGAAGGATTTTAAAATAACTAGGCATAAATGTCTACCACATTAAGACGACATGTCGCGACAAAGACCCATGTCCCTACCTTCAAGGTCAAGGTCACACTTATAGTTTGAAGGTACTCATTCTCTCGAGAAGAGTTTGAAGATACACATTCATGTCCGGACTGTAACTTTGTCATCCATGGAAGGATTTTAAAATAACTTGGCACAAATGTCTTCCATATCAAGACAATGTGTCGCGGCTAAGGCTCATGTCTGTCTGTCCCCACTTACACAACAATCATGTCCAGATTGTAACGTTGTCATGCATTGAGGGATTTTGAAATAATTTCGCTCAAATGTCTATCTCATAACAACATTTTGTCGCGTCCAGGAACCACGTCCCTTCTTCAAAGATTAAGGTCACACTTATATTTTGAAGGTTCATGCTATCACAATTAGAGATTACAGGTACAATAATACAAAGAACAATTAATATTCACAAATTAGATACTTTCATTCTCTTTTCTTTTCATAATACCTGCATGCTGAAGAAACCTTTTCGGAGGCATTCATCACTTGGGTGACAGCTCTTGTTGACTTATATTATAGGAGCAATATCTGGGGTCCAGTAATGAAAGCTTTGCTTTATTTAAAACAAAATTTATTTTAGTTCAGTTGTGTTGGAAACTTTAATCTCTACATATTTCGAAACACTCGAATCAGTTGAACCAACCATTACTAAGTTTAAAAACATTAAGTTTTATTGCTCAAGGAAACAACGGCTTGTCGCCGGCAAACATTATTAGCAGTCCGAACTCAACCAGGCTGCCATTACTTTGCTTTATAAAGCAGATATTTTTAACTGAACCCTTTGATAATACATGTAATGGATTAAGAATACAATTACATCATAAAAATCTAGTCCACTAAGTAAAGTTAAAAATCAAAGATCATCGTTTGGAAGAGCAATTTGAATAATCCATTTACCAGAGGACAATGTTGACACTGACACTGGCAATGTAATATAAAACGGTGAAAATTTCCAGAATGGAGAACATTTCCAGACCATGGAGATTTTGCCGTAGAACTTTATATAATAAATAGTAAGAAAAGTCTTTGATTTTGCAGGTGATGATATTTTTTGTCAAAGCTTCGAATATTCAGTTAAAAAAAGAAAGGGGGGAAAACTTGCAAGCTTTGTGCTCGTTAGATGTTCATATTACAATGTATTTGAAGAATCATGCATCTTCTCAATATACATATATATATTTATTGATTAGGAGGTTTCCCACTACATTTACGTAATTGCGACTTTGAACCATTTTAAATACTTTGTAGTACTACTTAGTAGCTGAAAGCCAAACTTTTCCAATTTATTAAACCTTTAACAGTATATAAGATTTCATCAAGATGGACAAAGATTCTAAAAGCTTGTTTTTGTTGCTTTTTGTTGTTTTCTTTTTACAATTTTAACATCTTCCCTGTTTTTCAAGAGGCAAACTGTACATTAGTGAAATAGTTCAAAAGAGAAAACACTAAAGCAACGGCATGAGAACTAGCATACTAATGATACGTTTATAATAATCAGACTGCTTTGTTTTACAAAGATACTCTTATCTTTTCCTATTAAAGTATGTAATATATAGTGGGTACTGACAGATAATCAGCCCATCTGTACATGATTGGAACTTCCTATTACAATTTTATGGATGTCAAGATAAAATATAAGACTTCCTTCCTATTAAACTACAAGAATAGCACAACAATACGATTTTCAAATTCTTTCTGAGTATATTTCTTAATTATCTTTTGCAGATCTTTCTGTTTTATGCCTATGTTGATCTAGCCAAGAAATTCCGTTTATAAGTTTAAGGTTTTTGGACCTTAGTGGTGTTCCTTTAACAGGTCCCATATGAACGAGTCAATGAAATCATTAGTAATGTTGGAGTCCAACATCTTAGCAAATCTTGATATGGTTTAGATGCAAAGATTATTCTTCAGAAAACTGCTTTACAAGTTATTATTCTTTGGTAGCACATTTTGCTTTCTAACGCTCGAAGAGAAAAATAAGTTGACATATAATAATCTAACCAACCATGAATGGTTTATTAATTAAAAAATAGAATTTTTAACCCTTTTATGTGGAAGGGAGGTCACTGCGATGAGCTTGATCCTGAAATAATTCATGCATCGTCTCCCTTGCTTAACTTTGAATTAAGAATGCTACGATGATTTTGGTACATACACACAGACGGACGGAATCATTGCATAAACGGGTAAAAAGATATACATTATATACACCCACCTCTTTAAACTTTTTGTCATTTTGACCACAGTTGAAATTATGCAAAATTTATAGTAATGTACATGTAATGTAAGGGAATTCAAAAGCATTAATTTAATATGACAAAATTAAAAAGCTGCTATTTAACACGTGCAGGCAAGAATTCCTTTTCAGGTATAATTTGATGGCGAAGGAAAATCATTATCGGCGATAATAGGATTATATAAAACATATTATTATGTGATCACCGAAAACTGGCGATCGCCTGACGTCACATTTTGTCAACTTTCGAGGAACAGTTAATCCTTAAAATATATGGTATGGTATTACATAAAATGGAAGATCAAGTTAATATTTTTTGTGTTATGTCGTCCGGGTTCATGAAATATCACATTAAATAACTCACTTCCCTTAAGGAGTTGCACTTAAATGCACCCTAAAACATGCGGATATCCGGGATTTTTCTTTATTAAAGGAGCTTAAAATCGATAGTTATAAATCATGTAAATCGCGCAATGAAACAATGACTTCCATGAATAGGCTCAATCAAACCGAGCCTACGACATTATCAATTTTGTCGTACATGGATTTCAACAAAATGCACATTTGCACACTATGTACGGTGATATCTTACAAAGTTATTTTTTTCTAAAATATTACGTCCAGATTTGTGGTTGGAACATGCATGCACAACAGGGGTTTGGGGAGTTTGATGAAAATTGTTTTATTAAACGGGTGTCATATTTCATAAACGGTGTGAATGTCGTGCTTGATAATTTTAGCGGTTCGTTTTTGTTTTTATTTAACACATCATCATAGTTTCCTTCTCTATCGAAAACGATTTTCCATTCCCACAAGCAAAGAGTCAGGCTATCCAAGCACATACCAAATTCTTTACTGTTTGCTGACCAAATTTCAAATTTTCATCTTGATATCCCCAAAATTTATACTGGACTAAGAAAATGGAAGCTGGAGTAAAGGGAGTTATTTATTATTATAGATGCGTAGCTATTAAAAGACCAGCGAAGATTGTTGCGTAATTTTACTTGTAACGATCAAGCTTTGTTTATGTTGTGATTTACATTTTTGTTGCCAAATTAATCTATTATCAGACGACAATAGTGCAACACAAGTCTTAGGAACATCAAATGTGTCTAAATCCTGTTCATACTCATAAATTTGATCAAAAACATACATTTATTCACAATCATCAATTTCACAATCACCATGGATTAATTCACCACCACTGATTTGTTCACATTCATGAATTTGTTCATAACAATAGATTTGTTTACAACCATTGTTTAGTTCACAACCACCGTTTTCTTCACAGACATGGATTTATTCACAGTCATGAATTATAGTTTGTTTACAACATAAATAATGGCGATTGTTATAATGTTGTGCATCAAAGATATACATGTACATAGATCCTATATTCGTAGTTTCTTGAAATCTTTTGCTAAATGTTCAGCTTTCAGTCTATTTCGATAATAAAAGCAAGACACAGATACAAGTTTATCATACGAATACATTATTTTTCGTGCTATATAAATTACACTTTGGTTTACAAATATAATTATTATCGATCAACTGAATCAAATTAAAATTCTCAAATAGATCTATCTAGTCATATCCAGTTTAAGAATTAAATAACTAGATCTAACCTATGATTGAACTTTCCTATTTATTTTTTTATTATTTATTTTATTTATTTATTTATGTTTATATTTATTATTATTTATTTTATTTTATTTTATTTTATTTTTTTAATTTTATTCAACCTCATTTTAAATAAACAAGAATATTGAGTTTGTACACTTCTTCGGTTCTCTTATGTTTAAGTTTCACAAGCAATTAATTATTCACGCCGTACGTACGAGACCATTCAAGCCCCTGCACGTGAAAGTCTTACTTCAAGAGTAAAACTGGAAGGTCATCATATGACCTTAACGGTAAAACCCAACCTCATCCCATCTTGGTACACACATTATAACTATGCGAACTTATGTTGTATGATTCTATGTAGGTCTACTATAAAACAGCTCCTAGACTGTCCATTATAAAATGTTGATTTTCATAACGTTTAAATACTAACATGTTGTTCAGACTTTCCTATAAATGGTGTATATTAATCACTGACTCTGTTAGTTAGTATATAATTTATATAAATGATATACATGTAAAGTTCAATAAGCGCTCGAGCTGAGCGCATGCGCACACATGCTTATATGTGCATAGCGATAATCAATCCGTGTGATTATTGCATCACCACGCATGCGCGGTCATCTAAAAATATAACGAAATACGCATAGGGCATTGCGTCAATAGGCGAATATATCTAAAAGAAATAACGCTGAGCCGAGCATTCATGAAGAATTATCAGTAAACTAAGTTATATGAAAAGATAAATTTAGATATGACTACGGCAGTACTTGTTCGTTCTGTTTGTACAAATACAAACAGTGTGATAAATTTAATCGGAAGTAACTTTCGGATTGGCGTACTTTCGGTTCAGCCGCAGAAACTTGTACAGGTAAGTGCACGTGCGAAGCTTAGCTTAACAGCAGTTTACTTCTTACGTTTCAAATTTTAAAAGTCTGTTCTCGACTTTAATACGTTGTGTAAATTATTATTATCTGCATTGATCAGTAGCCTGGTTTTTAAAAAATAAATGTTATATAAAGCCTACAAAATCTTATTTACTTCTAGCACAACTTTAAAGTGCTTATAATTAAGAGTTAATAAACCTATATATAATTTGGAGAAATGAAAGCCTAACTGGGATTTAAACTCCTAAAGTTTAGGTTTTTTGGCCTTATAAGGCTTTATAAATTCCTAATTAGGAGGAAAGAACTAATTAGGACATTGTATTTCTAATCAGGATTCTTTTTAATTGTGAATAGGCAATTCGGAGAAATATGATGGCAATCCTAATATTTATAAGGAGTAAAAAGTATAATTAGGACTTTGTATTTTCTAATTAGGAGTTAAAATAGATTAACAAGGAAAAACAAATGCCCAATTAGGACTTTGTGAGTTCCTGATTAGGATAAATAAAATCCTACTTAGGAGTTACAAAGTCATATTGAGGCTTTTGTAACTGTTAATTATGTGTGGCAAAGTCCTAATTAGAATTTTATTTTTCTTAAGTAGGCTTTTTTTAACTCCTGATTAGGAAAAACAAAGTCCTAACCGCAATACTTGTCATAGAAATTGCTTGATAGACATGTATTAATATAGAAACTTTTGTAAATAGTTTATGTAACTACTCTCAGAAAATTTTAATGCTAGATGTATAGAACCCTTGGTTAACAGTTGTTAATGAAATAACTAGCTTTTAATAAGATACCTGTATACGTCTATATAAATAGATTATGTAACATTTTTTTTTTTTTTACTTAGCTTTGTGTGAGTCTACATGTTTGTTAAAAGTTTATGTTATTACTTTATATGGTATAGGGTAAATGTATATTCATGAGATACTTTACATGTTGTCAGTTTTGCAAATAGTTTATGTAACTACTTTACAGGATGAGCCCATGTAAATAGTTTATGTAACTTCCTTTTTTGTTTCAGTTTATGTAAACAGTAAAAATTAAGTTAATGTAACTTCTTTTTAGCATTTATGTAAATATAGTAAAGTTTATGTAAATTCTATCACAAATTGCTAGATAAATCAATTATTATAGATATATTGTTTAATTTTAAGTCGTATACTGCTTTTAAAAAATGTTGAAAGTAGAAACTTTTTCATGAAATCTTTGTTGTTGAGCTCTTATGTAAACAGACTCTTCAACTTTTTCCTCTAAATGTTTATATAACAATTGTTTTGTACAAAACTACACCTTGATTTCATTGAGAATCAATAAGTCCACTTGGCATTTATTTATTCTATAGAAAAGATGTGTAGCCACTAAATCTGATGTGGATGCAACAATAAAAGAATACAAGGAAGGCAATTTTGAAAATTTGCCAGATCCTGATAAACTAACACACTTCAGGTAAGCTAAAATATTACATTCTACCTTTAATATAGCCTATAACATTTGTAACAAGCATCCAGGATTCCGGTTCAGGGAAACAGTCCTGGAAATAATTTGTAAATACTTCTATTTAAGAGTCTTGACTGTATGATTAAAACATAGATTATGGAAAAATACAATGTATACCGTAAAATTCCTATTAAACGCCCCCGTGGGCTAAACATTTTCCAAAAGAAGGGCTATTATTACAACACAGTTTTTCCTAAATCCAAAAATCACTGTAAATACATTTAGTGTTAGCAAGTGGAAATAACATTAAAAAGTGTTAAGGTTTTAAATTTCATATTATACATATTTGTGTTTACTATAAAATAAAATGGATTCTGAGTGATTTGAATAAAATTATGGCTTTAATACGAGTTCAGCACTGTTGAGTAGATTGTTTTCCTTATCAAAAGGCCTGGGGGGCCTTTATTAGGGGAGGGGCGTTTATTAGGAATTTTACGGTACATCATTTTTTAACAATATAAATTTTGATTATGCTGGTTAAAATTGAATGTAGATTTTGAATAAATACATTTTTTTCAGACAAATTTGATGAAGCTTGCTAAAATTAAATAGGATTTTTTTAATGTGTTTTATTAATCAGTTAATATACTGAATACATCAATGTATATACATGTAAGTTGTTTGGAAAGCTGTTGAAATTTAAGTAAATTGACAGTTTTTAGCTACATATTTAAGGCATATCTATTTTTATGTGCCAGTATGTATAGTTTTAAGAAATAGTGAAATGACTTAAAATGTCAAAATTTGTTTTTAGATTTGTCATATGGAATTTGGTTATCATACAAGGTCAAAATCATTAATTGATTTATATGGTTGAATATTTTTGTTGTTGGGTTTAATATAAGTTTAATTTCCAAAGTGAAATAGAAGATAAATTAATGTCAAACTTACAATAAAAGCCAGGTTTGTTTTATGGCCAGGCATCCTTATGTTGGTTTGTAATACTTGGTCAGAAGAGCAATTTTTCATTTGTTAGCTTATTTTTTAATGTATATATCTGTACTGATAGGAAGCACTTTTTTGTGTAAGAATTACCAGTAGACTATATAGGTCAAAAGTCAAGGTTACAGTGACACTTTTTTAAAGTATTTATTAGGTTTTAGCTAAATTATAAATTTATAAAGTGTAATTCCCAACAGATTACAAACATCAGAGGTTCATATAGCAT